GGCAGCTCTCGGCATCGCTTATTATGGGATGTGGGATATGGTGCCGGCGCACTGATCTGTGTTACCTCGCCCCCTTCGGTGGGCCAGCACAGCGGCCACACTTTGTTCTTCCGCACGTGCGGCGCCTGTGAGAAGGGGAAAGGGACTAGAAACACAGTAAGGAGGAAGTAGTAATTCACGGGTTGTTCTAACCTTATTTTATGTTGACAGGATGTGGTTCTCGTTTACCCAGCTTCTAGGTGGTAGTCTTTTAACAGCTCTTTATATTCTGCCAGCGTAGTTAACCCTGTCTGTCTCACAGAACTCCAGAAGATTAGGTTTTGAGAAATAGAGTTGGGCATCAAGAGCATGATAATGATAATTGGAGCTGGGGAAGTAGCTGGCATTTCATTCGGACAATCATGTACAGAAAGCAGAGAAAAGGACAGAAGATAGAACCCTGGAGACTATTTATGTCTCAACTTTTTTTTCTCCATCACACCTGAGGGATGTGATCCTTCCCATCAGTAGCAATAGCGCCCCTGTGACAATTCTCACCCAGGGGCCTGGGGGACCTAGAGGTGGGGGGAGTGGGGAGTAAGCCCCAGGTAGTTTGAAATATTCGTAGGTAATAATGATAAGGACGCGCTAAACTGTCCCTGAAGAGGGATGCTTCTAGTTGAGAATGTCAGATTTAGTAAAAAAGAAAATGCAGAAGAAATGAAGTTGGAAGTAGTGAAAGCATGAGGAAGAGAAGCAGGAAGGAGGAAGGAAGGACTTGCAAGGAGGGGAGGGTGAACTCTGCCAAATGGTATGGATGTAGGGATTAAGGAGGAGCGGCCTCTGGGTTTGTTGATCACAGAGGCTCCTGGACACAAAATCGAGAATCTATAAAAAGATTGATAAATCTGACCACATAAATTTTAAAATGGCAAAGATACCATGCGTAAATTCAAAAGACAAAGAACTGGGAGAACACATATGACTATCAAAGGGCTAATTTACTTCATGTATTAAGAGTGCTTCCAAATCAGTAAGAAAAAGAACAACCCAACAGAAAAATGAGCAGAGGCCCTGAAGAAGCAGTTGACATAAAAGAATTCTAGAAGGCTTTTAAATGCTTAAAAAGTATTCAGCCACACTCAAAAGAAATGCAAATTAAAAAACAATGAGATATTATTTTTCTCCTATCAGAATGACAATGTTTGTTTTGAATAACAATACAAAGTGTTTGGCCATTGTGTAGGAAACTGGCATCGTGCGGGCACTTGTGGGAGTGTAAGTTGATATAACTTATTTGGAGAAAAAATTAACAATATCTAGTAAAATATTTGGAGACCCTGGTGGTGCAGTGGTTAAGAGTTCGGCGGCTAACCAAAGGGTCGGCAGTTCAAATCCACCAGCCGCTCCCTGGAAACCCTACGGGGCAGTTCTCCTCTGTCCTATGGGATCGCTATGAGTCGGAATTGACTTGACGGCAACAGGTTTTTTGGTTTTGAGTGACGGTTAAGCACTCGACTACCAGTATTAGCCAAAAGGTTGACGGTTCAGACCCACCCAGAGACTACTTGGAAGACAGGTCTGGTGATCTGCATCTGAAAGGTCCCAGCCTTGAAACCCTATAGAGTAGTTCAAAATCTACTGGATGGCAACGAACAACAACAGTAAAATATTTACATTTGATTCGTGTTAGCAATTCATCTTTTTGAGAGTCTTATCCTAAAGCAGTGATTTCAGAGGAGTTCAAGGGCGGCTCAAGAAGGCAAAGTAAAGTATTATAATGAAATGTGCAAAGACCTAGAGTTAGAAAACCAAAAGGGAGGAACATGCTCTGCATTTCTCAAGCTGAAAGAACTGAAGAAAAAATTCAAGCCTCAAGCTGTAACATTGAAGGATTCTGTAGGCAAAATATTGAACACAGGAAGCATCAAAAGAAGATGGAAGGAATACACAGAGTCACTGTACCAAAAAGAATTGGTCATTGTGCAACCATTTCAGGAGGTAGCATGTGATCAAGAACCGATGGTACTGAAGGAAGAAGTCCAAGGTGCACTGAAGGCACTGGCGAAAAACAAGGCTCCAGGAATTGACAGAATACCAATTAAGATGTTGCAACAAACAGATGCAGCCCTGAAGGCGTTCACTTGTCTATGCTAAGAAATTTGGAAGACAGCTACCTGGCCAAGAGACAGGATGAGCTCTATATCTGTGCCCATTCCAAAGAAAGGTGATTCAGGAGAACGAAGGAATTATTGAACAATATCATTAATATCACACGCAAGTAAAATTGTGCTGAAGATAATTTAAAAATGATTGTAGCAGTACCTCCACAGGGAACTGCCAGAAATTCAAGCCAAGTTCTCAAGAGGAAGTGGAACCAGGGATATGATTGCTGATGTCAGATGGATCCTGGATGAAAGCTGATTTAGGGAATAATATTAGAGTCATTACTCCCTGTCCTTGAGCATAGAGAATGTGACCCAGCTGGAGCTGGGCTCACAAGGACACACAAGGACACATCAACTGGGCCCTGAGGTATAAAGACAATAGCTAAGATAATCTTGGAAAATATCTTTTAGAGAAACTTTCACATAAAGCCGATAAAACAGAACACAAAAGACTTTCCACTCTTATCTTTGTCTATTAGCATTTAGTGAATAGAAATTTGGTGGACCAATGCAGACCCTCCGAACTCTTGTTACTGAAACCTGTACCAATGATTGTTAAGAAAGACAATTCAAAATGTAGGATCACAGTTTCTAGCCAATCTGAAAAGGCTAAACTTTCAATGGTTTTGCCCATTTGTAATGTTAATATATACTGATGACGCTGTAATGGCCTTTGGACTCGGGCAGACAAGGCTGTGGCAGCATGCTTGTCCGTTTTTCCACTCTTGCCTGTTCTGTAATATTCTTTGGACTTGGACAGACATGGCTCTAGCAGCATGCTTGTCTGTTTTCCCACTTTTGTCTGTTCTGTGATATTTCCTTGGACTCAGGCAGACATTCTAACTCTGGCAGCATGCTTGTCCATTTTCCCACTTTTGCCTTTTTGAATATATGCCAAATAAAACTTTCTTCTTGCTTGACTAAATTTTATGGTGTTTTTCCCCTACAACAAAGCAGAGAATACCAGAAAGATGTTTACCTGTGTTTTATTGACTATGCAAAGGCACTTGACTGTGTGAATCATAATAAATTATGGATAACATTGCAAAGAATGGGAATTCCAGAACACTTAATTGTGTTCATGAGGAACCTGTACATAGGCCAAGAGGCAGGCGGTTGAGCAGAACGAGGGGATACTGCGTACTTTAAATTCAGGAACAGTGTGCCTCAGGGTTGTATCTTTTCACTATACTTATTCAATCTGTATGCTGAGCAAATAATCCGAGAAGCCAGACTATATGAAGAAGAACGCTGTATCAGGATTGGAGGAAGACTCATTACCAACCTGCAATATGCAGATGACACAACCATGCTTGCAGAAAGTGAAGAGGACTTGAAGTACGTACTGAAGAAGATCAGAGACTACAGCCTTCAGTATGGATTACACCTCAACATAAAGAAAACAAAAATCTTCACAACTGCACCAATAAGCAACATCATCATGATAAATAGAGAGAAGACTGAAGTTGTCAAGGATTTACTTGGATCCACGATCAACACCCATGGAAGCAGCAGTCAAGAAATCAAATGACACATTGCTCTGGGCAAATCTGTTGCAAAAGACCTCTTTCACATGATAAAAAGCAAAGATGTCACTGGGAAGACTAGGGTGTGCCTGTTTTTAATTGCCTCATATGCTTGCCAAACCTGGACAATGAATAAGGAAGATTGAAGAAGAATTGATGCTTTGAATTGTTGTGTTGGCAAAGAATATTGAACTTCCATGGACTGCCAAAAGATCAAACAAATCTGTCTTGGAAGAAGTACAACCAGAATGCTCCTTAGAAGCAAGGATTGCAGGAGTCCCTGGAGAAGGACGTCATGCTTGGTAAAGTAGAGGGTGAATGAAAGAGAGGAAGACCCTCAACAAGATGGACTGACACAGCGGCTGCAAAGATGGGCTCAAGCATAGCAACAGTTGTGAAGATGGAGCAGGACCAGACAGTGTTTCGTTCTGTTGTACATAGGGTTGCTATGAGTCGGAACTGACTCGACAGCACCTAATGACAACAACAATAACAAAGGTCAAGTACAAGCTGTCCATAAATCGAAAGTTCATAACCTGGGAACTTCCCGTAGTCTGCCTTAGAGAATTTAGTTGGTGCATTAAGGCACTTAATAAGAGGATAACCCCCCAAGATCCCAATGAAAACCAAACCCGTTTTCGTCGAGTCGATTTGGACTCTTAGCAACCCTATAGGACAGAGTATAACTGCCCCATAGGGTTTCCAAGGAGCCACTGATAGATTCGAACATGTTGACCTTTTGGTTAGCAGCCAAGCTCTTAACCTCTGCGCTACCAAGGCTCCAACCCCCAAGATACCTAAAACTAATTTTTAGTTATCTGGAATTTTTTACTAATTAGGACCTTCTCAATTTCCCTCCCCCCAGAAGGAATTACAGCCTCCTCTGAAGCCTCATAGCTTTATTTTCTAAATCAGCCAAGTCTATCCCAAGCTGTATTGTGAACTCCTGGGAATGCAGAATCTGCATTTTATGCGGTAATTAAGATATGGGAGAATGATCTGTAAACTTGAAATTGAAGGATCTAAGTCTGAACTTGGTTCCACCATTTGTAAACTGAGTGATCTTAGGTAGGCTACTCAATATCGCACAGCCCCAGTCTCCTCATCTGTAAATTCAGGATAATAATAGCCACAAAAAGTCAACTAGATTTCCA